TTCAAAAACAAGTATAGCTTTTGAAAAAATACTGTGAGTTCTTGAATTGCCAAAATACTCAATATTATTATTTAAATCATAGATAAATTGTATCTATTATATTTGAAAACTTTGTAACAGTGCACTTGAAAGACTGATGGGTTTGACTGAAATTCAGTTATTTTTTAAATTAAAATTTAGAATCTTTAAAAACATGACAAAGTTAAATATTAGTCTGTGGGTGTGTTTTCTAGAATAGATAATGTTGGATTGGGACATATATTTTATAGAAAAGCTTAAATACTTCTTTGTGTATGTATATATTTATTTTTAATTTGATGCAAACCTCTTGAACTGCTTTGATGCAAAATGTCTCTTTATCTTTTCTGTCTGCAGAGCTGTGAGAAGCTGAAGATGAAGCCAGGGAAAAACACATCAGCAGAGCACACACAAACATGAGGCCACCTGGCTTCTTGCCAACATACATGACATTCAATTATTTTAGTGCTTTTTCATGAGAGTTTTCCCTCCACCCAGCTTCCCTGCCCTTCTCCAAACCCTTGCCTTCTACATTTGGCATAGTTCATCTGATTCAGCATGCATTTTTCCTAGCTTTACTTATTAATATGTCTCCAACTTGCCCACAAAATAAAGTGCCAAGATTAAAATTCTTGCAATCTAATCTTGACATCCTCACTGTTACTACATAACTGTGACATTTCTTTCAATAAATTGAGAAAGAAAGGAGTTAGAGAGATCTGCACATTGCTTCAACTGCTGCTTTGATGTATGTACTCCAAATATTTTTCATTTCCCAAAATATATTCTCACGGGGGAGGGGACATTAAAAACAGCTTTGAGACCTTGAGATTTTTTTTAAAAAAATTTTTGCAAAGAATAATAATTTAACTGACAGACAGGCAATCTCTTATCTGAACTTGACTTATCTGAATTTTCCTTTATTTGTGTATGGTGGCGGGGGTAACTAGTCATTTCAGAAGACTTTCAACTAGTTTAACTTATTCAATTACTTTAGTTCTAGTCTCTAAAGGGAACTAAATAAAGACAACTTTATTAAAATACCCCAAATCTCTGTGTTTGGGGAGTTGGCACCAAATAACAACAGCAGCAACCACAAACTGCCGGGAATGTTAGATGTAACTTCAAATCAGAATGTCAGTCACTTCACAGAATAGCCTTTCTACTGTGTTAGCATCCAATGATGCCAGAGGAATTCAGAGAAAACCGTATATCCGTCAAAGAGGCTGAGATCTGAACCTGTACTATTTTGTTAACCCTCATCCTTTGTTTCCTGGACTATGGGAATTCCTCCACCTCTGCTTCTTTCCCATCATGGCAATTCGAGGAAGCATCAGCACCCCAGGTCTGAAAGTGCTGGAATCCTAGGGTGTCCAATATTTTGTTAGGCTTTAAGAGAAATTGATGCCTCCCCCAACTCTGTCTCCCCCCCACTCCCTCTCTCACCCATCACCTCCTCCTCCTGGTGTTGTCCATCTATAAATAGCAAAGGAGAATTGCTTTATGCCTAGCAGATTTATTGAGACATGAAGTATGGGGAGCAGAATCCTGGGATTAGAACCCAGCTCCCCTAGGGAAAGAGATGAACTGTTAATATGCTCAGAGGTGAAACAGAAAGCTGGAGCGCAGATGGGAGTGGTAGCCTGAGGTTCCCAATCAGAACCTCACTTAATAAACGGGTCTCACTAGCCAGCTTATGGCTCCTTAGAACCCTGTCTGCCCAGGAATGTTAGATGCAACTTCAAGTCAGAACATCAGTCACTTCACAAAAGAGCCTTTCTACTGAGTTAGCACCCAATGATGCCAGAGGAATCAAGAGAAAACCTTCTATCAGTCAAAGAGGCTGAGATTCGAACCTGCACTATTTTTTGTTAACACCCATTCTTTGCTTCCTGGACTGGCCCCTGGGCAACTGTTTGGATCTGAGGAGGGTTAAGATGTGGGATGAGGGTTAGGGGCAGGTTTTTAAAACCTGCAGAAGAGGAAAGAGCCATGCAGATCTCGATAGAGTAGCTGAAAGTGCTTGTCAAAGTGCTTTGGTCATTTTCCAAGAAGGCTATTCTCCAAGTGCCAGTTAGAAGAATCCCAGGTATGTCTCAGAGAAGGTGAGAGAGCCTCCGATCTGACTTCTGCTCTCTCCTCATGACCTCTGGAAATCAACTACCATTGTTTCAATTAGTATTGTTTTACCTTTATTATTAATACCCCAATACTCCATTGGCTACAGCTGTGCCCTTCCCATAAACTCCCTCTCAACTTCTCAAAATCTATTTAATGAAGCTCTTGGCAAACAGAAACCCGGTTTCTTGCCAAAAAACTGCAGATTAAGCATTCCTCATGGGGGGTTTGCCATTAGCTGTTCCTTCTGCAATAGGCACATGTGGTTGCACGTTCCAGAACACAGAGGATTCCCTGTAAGGGATTTGCATTTCCAGGAGTTTCCAGGGATGTTAAGTGGGGCTGGTGACACTTTGGTCCTATCCCTCCTGCGTGGGTCTGAGTGAAGGGTAGGGAGGACTTGCTGGGTAGTGATCCCCGGTGGCGTCCCTGGGCTTCCCTAGGAGCTGAACTTGCGTGGGTATACATATACTCTAGAGCTCGCATCATATGCCTTTCATTTAAAAGACACCGAATGTTTCTCAGGGAATTGAGGGCTCGTAAGACGCATATTTATAAACAAGCTGACATGGCTCTACGACATAACCAAGTTTATAGCCAGGAGTTGTTTGTATATGTCCTCAAGTCTGCAAGGCGTTCTTGCTGCTGTGAATTTTTAGGGGGGACAAAAGACACTGCTAAATGGTCATTTCTCTTCTACCCCAGGTGTTTATTAGAGAAACTCAGACTTTATCTGACAGTTCAGAGGGGGGTGGAGAATGAAAAAGCACCAACCCACACAGGAGTGAGCGGATAACTCTACAGTCAGCTTTCCCGCAGGGTCGGCCCAGGAACCCGCTAGGAAATGTCCAGGGAGGGCCTGGCTGCTCCTCCTTAAGCACAGTCGGGGCCCCAGCCTTTACTGGGCTTTTATGGGGTGCCCCAGCGGAGAATGTCAGGCTTGGATTTCCCGAGGCTTTTTGATGCAATCTGGCTTTCGCCTGGATCAAAGTCCCTGAAAGCTTTTCTCTGACCGTGCTTGGTGCTGGCTGCAGGAGACAGTAATAACAGCAATACAGCAAAAGCTACATAATTATAGGAATAGTATCAACTCGCCAGAACCTGACTGCGCGCCAAAGCCCACTCCGAGGGCTCGGAGCATGAACCGTGCCAGTGGCCACAGCTCACCGGCTCCGGAGAAGCGCCTCGGGGAGGGTGGCTGCTGCTTCCTTGGGCCGCGACCAGACTGACCAGGCGACCAGACCGACCAGACCGGACCTGGGTGGTTGGACCCGGCCTGGCTTCTGGGGCAGCAGCTGGGAGGTGCGCGCAGCGCTCTGCGATCTCCATGGTGGTTCCTTCCTGACTGTGGCCTGGCCTGGCCTCCCAGAGGGCCTGCCAGGGAGTCTGGGTCAGCCAGGACCCTTAGGAGGGTGGGCATCTCCGAACGGGCGGACGGCGGGTGCCCGCCAGAGCTGGGCGTGGCCTCGCCACTCCCAAGGTCCGGACTGGGCTGCCTTACGGGCCCAGATTGGCCTGGGGACAGGCAACAGGCGCTGAGGGGCCTGTGCGGGAGGGAAAGCCTGGGGCAGAGGCTTCCCTTGCGAGGCTTAGGGCTTAGTCTCCAACCGGTGGGACTTTTCACCAAATTTGCTCCTTTAGAGACCTGGACGCCTTCCCCTCGGACGGCTGGCCTCGGGCTGCGTGGAAACCCGAGTCACGGGGCCCCTTCCCACCCGCAGCGCATCCCCGCCCGGGGCAGTGCGGGGCCAGGCCTGTCCGCCCGGCCACCGCCTCTCCCGCACCCAGCTCCGCGCCCCGCGATCCCTGCAGGCGCTTTTCAAAGTCATTGCGCCGCATTTCTTTAAGAGAAAGAAAGAAAAAGAATAGTGTTTTTTAAAAAGGCTGAAGGCCTTCCTTGTTCACAAATCTCTGTGCAATGAGCATCCCTCTGGTCTGTACCAAGAACCCCTCGGAGGCACTTTCCTATGGCGTTTTCTTTAAATAATCTGCATCTAATGATAAAATCGTGGACCACGGGGAGGGCTGCGGAGGGAAGGGGAGAAATAAGGTGGTGCTGGATAACGGTTCCCTTGGCTCTGGCCGGGCTTCGCTGTCCCACCCAGAGCCACCAGCCCCGGGGCGCACGCGGGGCTCGGAAAGGGCCGCGGGCGCCGGGCTGGGGGCGGAAGCGGCCCCTTGCCTCCACCGCCCCAGCTCTTCGCTGCCCGTGTATCTGGCTTCTTGGGCTTCGGATTAATGTGGAGCTTCCACATAAAGGACTTACGGATGAAATAAAAGCCCCGTAGAGCAAACACTTCCTTTCAAGTTCTCTGGACGCTTCTAAATCTTCCTGGCGGTGAGCGGCGGCGTGGGGGCGGGGAGGGGCCGGGCGGGCGCTGGGCGCGGGGTGGGGGTGGGGGGGTTCAGTGCTTTGCGATCTCACCGAGCTCCTCCGAAATGCCATCCACTGTCGCCGCAACACTGTCTTTGGGCGTCGGGGCCTCGTCCCTCCCGGCATGTGTCTGAAAAGGAGCTGTCTGTCTGTCTACCCTCGGCCCGGCGCGCCCTGCCCGGGGAGCGGGGGTAGGTGGCGGGGGGAGAGGGTGGGGGCAGAGGGGGACCGGGGTGGAGTTTCGTCGCTCAGCCTATTTTCATATTCATTAGGACTGGGAGGTTGCCCGAGGAGCCCAGCTGAGTTTCAAGATATAAAAGCGACTTCGGGTGCCCCCTCGGCAGCCGGGACGGATTAGAGGGCTGGGAGCGGGGCAGCTCCCGGCGCCGCAGCGCTCGCTCCCCTGCCCTGCGCTCGGGCCTCCTCTCACCCTCCCTCCTCCGCCCCTGCCCTCCCGCCCGGCGCCTCCGGCCTCCGCGGCCCCGGGACGATGGAGTTCCTGAGCGAGAAGTTCGCCCTCAAGAGCCCGCAGAGTAAGGGCAGCGACTTCTACCTGGGCGCGGGCGGCGCGCTGGAGCACGTTATGGAGACGCTGGACAATGAGTCCTTTTACAGCAAAGCGGCGGCCGCGGCGGGCAAATGCGCGCAGGCCTTCGGGCCGCCGCCCCGCGCCGAGCACCACGTGCGCCTGGAGCGGACCTCGCCCTGTCAGGACGGCGGTGAGTGCGGCCCGGCCCGGCTTCAGCCCAGGTCCCCGCCCCGGCCCCGGCCCCGGCCCCAGCCCCGGCCCCGGTAGCCCGCCAGCGAATCCGAAGTCCGGGGACCCGTGGGGACGGGCGGGCGGAGAAGGAGGAAGGGAAGCGGGAGCGAGAAGCCCGAGCGCGGAGGGAGGCAGAGACGCGGTGCGGGTACCGGGCAGCGGGGCTGGGCTGCCAGCGGCTTTGGAGATGCATCTGGGGGACTCGGCCCTGCGGCGCCGCCCCGCTCCACTTGGGCTGTGCAGCGCCGTCCCCCGCGGGTCCGGACCCGCTCCGTGCAGGGCCGGGCGTAAGCCGATCGGGCGGTAAATAAAGCGTAATTGAGTCAAGACAGCGCTTCCTCCGCCCGCCGCCGCCCGCGGGAGCTGAAATCCATCACCGCTCCTTGGAGGATGTCACTGTCGTCACGAGTGAGAACACTCTGAACTCCTTTAGAGGAAAAACCTTTAAAAAAAATTATTACCCCCCCAAGACTTAGCGATACCTCTCTGTGTGAAGCTGGAGAGTTGCTAGGTTCGCTGTGAATGTGTAATTTCTGCTTCTTGGGGTTTGCCATACAACACACGTTTTTGAACTATAGTCGCTTTAAGTAGCTTCAGGGCAAAGTCCCCAGGATAATCACTCACTCCGGGCTGCCGCATCTGCAGCTTTCTGACTCCACGTTAAAAGTCACCCCAGAAGCGCTCGGAATGCTTCTGGGCGAAATCTTCCCTAGGAGTGGGCAAGTATCTCCAAGTCAAAATGTTATCAAAACAAACCATCTTTCTATCTTGTAACCCAATACAAACCGATTTTTTTTTTCTCAGATCGCGACAGCTCAATCAAGTTTACAATTCCAAGAGGACTTTTCCTTATCATTGTATATATTCCACAGTTAAGCTGTAAGGAGCGGGTTGCTTTAAAATAACAAACGAATTAAGTGTGAAATATTTACAACAAGCCTCCTGCCCCCTGTTTTAATGGAGGTTGAAGATCTGGCCAGCGCTGGCTCAGAGTAGCTCATTTTCTAAATACTTTGTACACAGTACATATTTTATTCAGTGTTGCAAGTTACTTTGGACTTGCAAGGTTAAGCCAAAAATAAATGTGAAAGCGACTGAGAAAATAAGTTAATCGGTCATTTATTTAGAAAGACGCATCCATTGATTTTTCTTTTTAATACACTAAATGGTTGGCTTTCTGGATGTATTTTCAGACTGCAGTATCTTTAGATTTTTGGAATTCTTAGGTACCTACGTAAGAATAGACAGGGTTTTGTTTTTAAATGGTTCTGTTCATTAATGCCCTGTGCTGACTGCAGGATAGAACGCAATCATAATATATTAAATTGTCGGGGATCCAAAACAAAAAGAGAAATAGGTGATTTTTGATACTTTATCAACTTTTAAATGAACATCGCACTACTAGGACTAGTTTGAATCTGAAAGAAGTGAGGTGTACAGAGGCAGTAGTCCCCTCCATTTAGGAAAGTCCTGTCTTTCCCCTGAGATGCCCTTCTCTCAGGACTGCTTCCCCTCCCCCGCCCCTAATGACCGCAGTTCCCCATTTAGCTCTGTCCAGAGACAAAACCAGATTGTTAACCAGTCATGGCTCTTCTTTATATTTAGGTTTACATCACATCTTTTACACAAAAGTTATTTGGCATTTCAATTATATAGGTATTGGAGTTCAACATATTGGTATAATGATCAAAGCAGTTGTAAAAATAAATTGTGAGAGATCGTTTCAATACTGACAAAAGCCAAAAAAAAATTTGACAGTTCATTGGAAATTATTGTTCTGGCTGGGTTGACTTTACTTTTCAAAAAATACCTCCCATTTTATTATGTGCATTAATTGCATTTGTGTGTGTGTATATGTATGTGTGTTAGTGTGTGTGGCACCACATGATACATTTTTTTGTTTTATATCATACCCCAAGCATGAAACCAAGTCTGGAGGAAATAACTGAAATTAAAACATCCCTAAACAAAATGCCATCTGTAATTCTTTGTAATCTTTTAATAGAATTTTTAATTGTTGTGCTTTATTAGAGGAAAAAATAAAGCTTTCTACCTTTAAACATATTTTATGAGTTTAAGAATAAATATGACATATTTAGCAAGAGCTGTAAACAAATTTATAAGTTGAAGAAGTCTACTTCAGCTTTCTCTAGAAAACATGTTCAGAAACTAATATAAAATAATTTTTAAAAATTTAGATCACTTTTTGAAAAAAATTAAAATGCAGAAATGAATATACAGTTGAAATATTCAAAATATAGTAGAAATAATACCATGTGGCAAATCTACAGCTTTTGTCTGGAGGAGGAAGATAACTTTTGGGAAGAGTTTGGATTTTGGTTTACAGATATTTGAAATGAAAGAATCTTTCTTGGGCCATGTAAGTAGCTTAATTTTGTCTGCTGTGAATAAATATATGACCTTTTATTAAGTTTGATTCAGCTTTCAAAAATTATACTCACTTAGGTTTTTTAAATCTAGAGCACTTTTAATTTGACTGCCTTCATTTGATTATAAATTATGTGTATAAACATTGCATTAGTCCTGTAGAACTATGAATTTGGGCCAGTTAGATGAGCCCCATGTACACATTTTAAAATTCCTTTAAACCTGCCTGAAGTGGATTAATACTTGTGCCAGATGTGATGATTGAATTAACACTGGCACAATAAATCATTAGCAGACCATTTTTCTGGTGCTCTAAATTACAGCTGAAGTCCTGCATCGAAATGCTTCACAATGTTGAGAACTGTTGTTTTCCCCTGGTTACAGTGAACTATGGGATCACTAAAGTAGAAGGACAGCCACTTCACACTGAACTAAACAGAGCCATGGACAACTGTAACAGTCTCCGGATGTCTCCCGTGAAAGGGATGCCCGAGAAGGGAGAACTGGATGAACTTGGGGATAAATGTGACAGCAATGTATCCAGCAGTAAGAAGCGGAGACACCGAACCACCTTCACCAGCTTGCAGCTGGAGGAGCTGGAGAAGGTCTTTCAGAAAACTCATTACCCAGATGTGTACGTCAGAGAACAACTTGCTCTGAGGACAGAGCTCACTGAGGCCAGGGTCCAGGTAGGAGCCACATGATGGCCTTGGGTGGGCGCCGGTGGGTGTGGGTCGGTGGTGTTAGAATATCTTAATAGTTGCATTTGCCACAAAGGAACTGTTTAAAGATGTAGAATAATGTTATGCATGTAGGTCTACTAAAATTTCTTTTTACTTACAAAGAATTTAACTACTTACATAAAAACATAAAAAAGAATACTTGAGTTATATAGGCATAAAACCATTGATTATTTAAAGAACTGAATATCTTAACATACATCTGATTTCAAAAATTAATTTTAAAATGCAGATAGAATCATAGTTATTCACTTATTAATGCATGTGTTTTTATTTTATTTTTCTACTTTATCAACTATTGAGTTTTGTTTTAAGGTTATACACCAGATATTGATATTTGTATAATGGCCTATAAATCTATAATTTTATCAAAGTTAAGGTAATAAGACAAAGAAAAAAAGAAACAATCCCATAAAATCCCAATTGTTATGTAAAGCAAATCTACTTTTATTATGCATAATTAAAGAAAGATCATAAACTCATTTTCAATTTTATCACCTTAGTAGTTGCCAGTGATGTCATTCCATTCAATATTTTAAATATAGATAACTTATATGGTTTTTGCAGAGGAAATAGGAATAATGATCATAAAATAATTTAAAAACATGTACTGCATTATAAATTGTATTCAGATTATCAATATTGGATGATTTAATATACTATATTTTTAATCATTTGAAAAGAAAAAATTATACTGGATAAAAATTCTACCTTTTAGGCATATTTTTATTAGAGTAGATATTCTTACACTACATTTTATTAGGTTACAAATAACAATCATTTGGAAGAATGACCTTTTTCTCTGGCATGCTTTTATTACTCTAAATAGGAAACTATTGAATTTTGCAGTTCCCATAAACTACAGGATAGATGAATGAGTGAACACTTTGGTGCTTGGTGAAGTAATAGTATTTATTCTGAAGATTAAGCCATCGTTAAGGCCTTTACACATTAAACACAACATCTGGTGGTGCAGGGGTAACAAGCAGCAGGTTTTGTTCTTTAGTTGTGGAAGCAAATGGTTACTTTATCTTAGTCCAGGAAGTAGAAATATAGAAAGTTGATGCTAACAAAAAAATTTAGGATTGTCAAGTGTTAGCACAAGCCCGCATGTGTTCTTTTTTCCTGGTATCCACATATTTAAATCAGTTATACTTGTGAGCATAGAAAACGTGTTTGCATACAGAGGGATCAGCTGTGTACAATGCATATTTCCCGCTTAACATGTCATCAAATCCTGATTCATTTTTTGTCTAAGAACATGCACAGAGAGCCAGCCTGAACTTAATTTACTCGGGTTGTTTTCTTTCCTGCTTTTCACATCAGAGTGGTTATTGGCATCCATTTTAAAGAGATGGTCAAGGTCTTTGCTTAGAGAAAAAACAAAACAAAACAAAACAAAAAAACCCACACCTTACTACTAAATTCCCTTAGTATGCTCTTGGTGGCTATCTGTGCAGACAGCAAGGAATTATATTTTGTTTGGTTTGGTTGTTGATGTTGTCTTGAGTCTGGGCATAATGGATAATACACATTGGCCAGCAGTGTTCTAAGAAACCGCACTGAACAGGTAACTCACTTTGCCTTGTTTTAATTGCTGAAAACTCTTCCGAAGTGCCATCTTAAATCTGTAATATATTTTTACATATTAAACTGAGTATTCAAATGTATTGATAAGTATGTTTATAATTGAATTTGCAAATGAATAAAACTTTCGAGTAATTTTAGTAAAAGGTTTTTTACAATTTGCATTTTTATATTTGATTTTCAGCTTCTTTCCTAAATATTTTATATTCTGAACACACTTTCTGTAAAGATTAAAGAGTACCTAGAAGCTGCTTGTGTCATGTTTACTAAAAAATATCAATTTATACATATTGAAGATGCTTTTCTATATCTTCCTTTAATACATGAAAATATTAAAATGAAAATTCTGGAGAGTGATAAGTATGAGTTAGTGAATATTTAACCCTCTGTGGAAAAAGTTGGTTGTGATAAACATTGTTAGTATGAGAGTGTAGTAACCCTATAGAGAAGTACCACTAACTCACAGACTTTCTTTACACTTGGTTATTTCTGCTCCATTTCTTTGTTATTTGTTAACTGTAAGTCATTTAAATTGGAGAATAAGTTTGATGATGGCTGAATATTTTCTATAAGAGAAGATAAATGTTATGATATAGTAATCACATTTGTTTATTTTAAAACCATAATTGTACTTCAGATGATTCCATTTTATCCTTTGTCTCCATCATGCTCAGTATTATATCTAATCTTAATATTTTATGTTTCTATATAATCATGATATTTCTGCTGATGCCATATATTTTTACATTAATTTATATTTAATTTTTTTCTAACAGTATCTAAGTATGGATATAATCAAGAAAAGACTTCACTCTATGAAATGCTTTAAAGATAATTGTTTTTGATAGACCCAGATATTCATCTGATTATAAATTGGCTGGGTTAATGTCATGTGCATAACCCCAAATTAAAAAGTCATGAACATCTCTCAGACTTGCAGCATTCTCTGAGAGGAGGATTACCTATGATAATTTGGAGATATGAGTCTTCAGGATCATATAATCTAAATCCGTTTTATTTTCCATAAATGAAAAAAAGAGGCTCAAACATATTAAATAAATGTTTTTAAAGTATTTTGTTTTTTTATGTTAATTTATAGTGCCTCATGGTTATGCCACGTATATCAAGGTAAAATAGAATGTAAAATTTGTGGATTTTTTTTTCTGATAAAAATTTATTTTATTAATAATTGTATTGACCTGATTTATTTTTCTGACTTAATTTATTTTAACATCACATTTATATTATCAAGTATTATTTAGCTAAAATTCTACTTCTTTGAAAAATTAGGTTTGGTTTCAAAATCGAAGGGCCAAGTGGAGGAAAAGAGAACGTTATGGCCAAATACAACAAGCTAAAAGCCATTTTGCTGCCACCTATGATATATCAGTTTTGCCCAGGACTGACAGCTATCCTCAGGTATGATAAACTGTGGAATACTGATCAAGGGAAATACATGCAGTGTGTATATTATTAAAAGAGCTAGTATAGGCTTTATTATATCTAAGATAAAGGTTAGGAATGAGAACTTTAAACTCGAGACTTTTTTCATGTTTGTTAAATTTTTATTTTACTAAAATATTTATTTTGTTGCTATTTTTCCTCCAGAGCCATTCATTTAACAATATTTCAGGGTCTCTTCCTTGTTACAGAATGCAACACCTGAAGTAGCAGCATTCAATTGTATACATCTGCTAATTACTCTGCATTTTAATTATTTAAAATCACTTCCCTTGTTTATTTAAAAAATATATTGAATATTGTTTGTCATGTATCTCTGTAGATAATGTTTCATGGATCAGTCCTACACAACCTAGTGTCAAATGTAGTGCTATATGAAGCCTGCATTCCTGTTAAAATAATCTCTTTTCCTATGTTGTCTGTTTTAGCTTTGAAGTTGCTCATTGTTTGAAGGAAACATTTAGTACTTTGCTTCTTAACATGCATGAAGAATTAGGACTGAATATAATTTAAAAAAATTATCATGTGAAAAAACACTTCCCTTTATAATGGGAGCTCTCATTTCAAAGACTAGAAATTATTTTTTCTTCTAATTTTTTAATTTAGGTTTTTATTTTTCTTATCCATACTTTGTAATGCATATAAGTAAAAAATATTCTTGCTTTTATAAATGAGAATTACTTTTTCCTAACACTAAATTATTCAGAACTGTATTTGGTACATGATTGACACATAGTATAAGGAACAACCCAACTGTTACTTACTTCCTTTTTGTTTAATGTTATGCACTGGAAGAGACGACTTAGGTAACAAATATGTAACATGTATGTTGGTGGAATACTTTTACAGTCCAGTAACGATATCATCACAGCCCCAAACTTACTTAAGGTATTCATTTTCTTCAACTATAAATTCATACCCTTTTAGTATGAATTCAGTCCTCGATTTTTCAACAGTCCTATGTTCTGATGCCTTTTTTGGACCCTTAATAACTTATTTTGAGACCTTCACCCCTTCAGTAAATTCAGCAAATTTATTCAGGAAATATTATATATATGAACAAGAGCCTTAGAGATGATTTTATTCTGCTTCTTCATTTTAAAAGTTAGGAAAGCAGACCCAGGTGAGTTAAGGAATTGGTCTGTATCACACAAGTAGTTCCTTACGGGCCAGTCTCTAAGGGGAGGCTTTGGCTCAGCCTTGCCCTGCAGTTGGCTGGTACCTTTTGACTAAATGCCACCCCTGCCATGAGAAGAACTGTGTTTTCTCCTACTTTTAAAAATGTGTCTTAAAGCAGGTTCCTTATATTTTTCTTCTGTCTAAAAGCACGTACACACTCCTGGTTACTTGTCGTATCACAAGCCTAAGGAAATGTTATGCACTGAATAGTTTGAATGTCCTGGTTGAGTTCTAAGCAGAGTGCTAGGGGCTCCTTCCCCTGAGAATAGGCACTGCAGGGTTCTCTGGTTGTGATGTGACTATCGCCCTTACTCTCTCAGGCACTCTTCTAAGCAGGTTGAGTATATTAACTCATTCAGTCCTCACGGAAATCTTATGTGGTATGCATTAGTATGTATCCCCATGTTTCATGTGAAGAAACGGAGGCAGAGAGGTGAGGTATATACTCACTTCCGCTGGTGGTGAGGCCCTGATTTGACCAGAGGCATTCTGGCTCGCAAGGGCAAGATCTTAACTCTCAATACAGACTGTCTCAGCAAAGATGTTTAAATGACTGGAGGATTAGCAAACCAATACCAAAGGAGCATACAGCTTACGTTGTTTATTCGAATTTGCACTTTAGTTTAGCGGAGCAGCAAATGTGCTCACAACCAATGAAATAACAATAAAAAATAATAGACATAGTATATATTTTATATAATTTTGAGCTATTAGAGGCGATAGTACTATGAAGACTTTAGATATTAGGAACTCTTTTCAAATAGGCTTTTAACAGTCTGATAAGTTTATTCCAAAACACTCAATTATATATATTTTTATACCTTATTATTTCCACTGTCATTCCTTTTCTTGTAAACCCCATTTTCTACTTTGTTTCTTGCTGTTGGTTGCATTATCTCTAACTCCCATTTTGTCTTCAGTGTAGCCTAAAGCATTACTTACAGTGCTGGCACCAATTAACCTCTTTTATAGTGGCTTAATATTATTTAATATACTCTGACTAGATGCCCCCTTTTTCCTAGGATTATCATGACATTGTGTTATTGTGCTACATAGCTTTAGATCTTACCATTTAGCAGAATGAGGCAACCTAGCAGCTCAAGCAGGAAAGAAAATGGTACAAATTACACATTTGAGTCTTTTGCACTCCAGCAAAGGCGTAATTTAAAATTTCCCCTCACAAGTCATGGGAATTTCACACTAATTCTCCCTGTGGCTTCTCCATACTGTATGTACATTGGTTATACCACCTCATAATTTAAATATGGAAGCACAGAGATCAGATGCTAAAGTTATTTTGACAGTGCAACTTGTCAACAATAATAAAATCAATACTGTAACATCCATAGTGCTTTTCTACATTGGTAAGTCATGTGCTGTTTGCTTGCCAGAAATTCTGAAATCAAGTGTCTTCCACTCCCCCACAGTAAGGGGAAATTTTCTTTTAACTTTAAAATATGGAGTTTACTTTTTACTTTGTTTGAAAAAGAATTACGACAGTACCATGTTTCCAAGCTTCAGCCTAAAGGATTTTTTTTTTTAATCTTGTGGCTTGAAAATAGAAATGTATAATGGGAAAAACAGAAACTGAAATAGAACGCAACAGCTCAGTGCAATAAAACTTTGAATTTGGTTACTGTTACTAATTATAGAAAAATTTTATTAATTATAAAAACAGTTGGAAACTAGAAAATGTTGGAGGCAGGACAGAAACTAAGAATTAGCAAATTTGGCAGGAAAGCAAAGGCCTACACAGAGATACACAAAAAACAGAGATGGCTTAGAGAGATCTTCTCAAGCCTGCCCAGGGTGGATACGGATCTGACTTAGCATAAAGGTATCCATATATAACATATATGATTACTTATGAATACTAATTATATTTTCTAATGTGTTCTAAACACTTTGTTTCCACTGTCTTCATTGCTCTATAGGAACAGCAGCCATAACAGTACAAGAAAGTAACTGCTGTCTGAGGGCTTATTTCAGCCCGACTCTCTTCAGCCAGTAACTGAGCCAGAACCCAGGGTCTCTGAGTGGGAGGCCAGGCACCTTATGTAATATTATCTCTATAATGTACCGTTGAGCTTGAAATAGTTAAGCTTTGACCCTAAATCATTCAATTACCTTGGGAAGCAAAAATACTTCTATTTCTAAATGTATAAAATAAGGACACAAAGCATTAAAAATGTAGACACTGTTAGACTGTTTTCATATATTATATTTCTTTAGCTCACTCATATTTGATAGCAAACAAGTCATAAGAAAGTGAGTGGTGTGATATTGGTACTAAAATAATTTAATGTAATACTGAAATAGTATTAAAAAACAAAACACTTTAGCTCAGAATATTAGATGCCATTCGACAACAGTCTGATTTAGGTAAGTTAAACTGCTTGATGTTCTCCAATACATGATATTAAAAGAAAAACAGAAAAACTGTTTCATTGCTTGCGCTGAACTTGTCCCCTCTCTCTTGAATTCCCTTCCCCTCACCTAACCCCTTTTCCTCCATAAAACCTTTTCCCAGTCCTCCTTTAATCAGCACATCAATGACGGTGATGGTCTGTGTGCAGTGTCTGCCTACCACTTTCCTATGAACGTTTTTTAAAAGATGACTCAGTTCTTACTTTTGTATCAGCACAGTATTAAGCAAATTATACAGGGATGGATAGAAGTGGGTTTACACATGTAATACAGATAAATACTAATTAATAAATAATAATACAAGAACAAACTCATTCACAAATGTAAACCCACATTTGCCTACCCATGTATATGGGTATTGATTCACATCTATTCAGTGTATATTTTTTCAGGTGTACATTATAAACCTAAAAGTAATCAATTTCCAGTACCACAGTTGATTTCTGAATCTCTGCTATTAACCAGTTCTGTGGTCTTTAAGCATGGAGCTTTTCCTTTTTCTATCCCAATTTCCTCATCTGCTAAAAGGAATAGATTAGAAAGATTTTGCTAAAACCTTTAAATATAGTATGTGTGGTACTGTTGTATGCATGGGGATTGTACAAATGAGCCAGACAAAATCTCCTTCTTTGTGGACAAATTAAGACTGATTTTTATATGGAATCTAATGAACAAAATAAACTGACGAATGAAATAGAAACAGAGGTATGGATACATGGAACAGACTAACAGCTGTCAGAGCAGAGGAGAACTGGATGAAAGAAGATAAAGGGATTAGCTAAAGAATATATACTAGTATATGCACACCCCATAGACACAGACTACCGTGTGGTGATGGCCAGAGGGAAGGAGGGCAGAGACTAGGTGGAGGTGAGCAAAGAGGGTGATGGGAATATCACAATAATGTTAACAATAAAAATAATCATATCCCCCCAAAAAGAACTAGATGATATTTGAACCAAATTCTGCAAAAACGCTTCTTGATGCAAATCAAACCCAGCAACCAAAAATACCTTTGCCCTTTAATTGAAAATGCACGAAAACATGTATCAATATTAGATTGTAATTTGTTTGTAATTTTGAAAACCAAAGCATTTAAAAAATTATTTTGGTGAATAAAATATTTAAAGTATAAAAATTTCTGGAAGATTATAACTAGCCTTCATTCTTACAAGGAACCCTAATTTTATGTCCTTAGATTTGCTTTGGATTGTATTAACTTGATCATCATTTACTAGCGGGGCAACTTTGGATAAGTCTCTTTACTTCCTTAATTTCCAAATTCTTTATTTGTAAAACGGAAACATTGTTAGTGCTAGAGTTGGTCATCTTGGTAGTGTAGATGCTGATGA